TGCATTAAGAACTGTGATCTGCCTGTAACATCTATTAGGGTGAGAGACTGTTTGATTCAAATTTTGCTTAGTCTGTTAAAGTTAGAATTTAGACTGCTTTTTTTTTCTTTTTGGTAATCAACTTTTATCTCTATGCTTGCTACTTATAATCACTTAAAATCTATCTGTTTTATATTTTACCTAAAACAGTGTGGTTTTGGTTGGAGTGCTTGGGGAATCTCAGCTCAGGTTAGCAAAGGCTCTTGCACATGCACTATCCTTTTGGCGGAGTGGCAAACTTATTAATGAGCTTACACTGTCCATGGGAGTCTTGAGCAGTGTAAGATGGTATATTTCTGGGGTGCAAGGCTGGGGCCTGGGGTGATTGGTTGGTGCCTGACTCTGTATGATTCGTAAGTGGCTCACGGAGCATTCATGCAATTTAGCTGGGTGTGAAGCTCCACATGTTGATGGCTGAGTGATCACAGCACCTGGAAGGGTCTTGCTGCTTGTCATTGGCATAGCATTGTGTGAGACAGCCCAGGCTGGAGACTTACAGGGACACAGCAGTCCCACAGTTCCATGTTGTATCCTGCGGTTCACATCACAAGGGGCCAGTGCTGCAAATGAGGAATCAGACCCAAATTAAGTTTGTTATATGAATCCGCTATGTTGTTGCTAATAAACACTACATCAGGGTTGTAGCCCTATATCCATGGACTGCTACTGAAAGAACTGGGGAACTTAAGATTCTGAATTAACTCAAATGTAGCCTCATTGATCACTTCAGTGAATTCCAGGACCTCATCAAATACATGGCAGAGTCTCTGGAGATTATCATAAAGTAGTACAGAGGAAACCTCACAAGCTCTTGGATACGTTGCCCTCTTCCATAACTGTCAGGCTTTCCATACTGATAAATAAGGTATTGTTGGAGCCTTCACAAGAACTGAGACAGACTTCAATATTTGATTCCTGCTATACCTAAGAGTGCAGACAGAAGTCCCTTCCAGTGACTTTGAATATTCTTATTCTCACGTGGTACAGGGATCTCTGGTTGTAGGAACCATCCAGGAGAAGTCCAAGCTGCTAGGGCCTCCCAAAGAAATATCTAGGGAGAAGAACCCTAGCTAGGCCTGTTTGGATGCAAAGTCTGTTCACCTGCCAGCCTCCAGAGGCTTATAGCTAGCTACCAACTCTTCTTTAAATATGACTTTTTAAAATGGGACAAACTATCACAGGAACATCGAGAGGAATTTAAAGCCATCATGATGGAAAGACAACTGATATCGCACGTTTCTATTCAAGATGCACTTGACATGTCCAACACAACAGCACTTACTATGGCCACTTCTATGACGGTGAGAAGATATATTTCTGGCTTTGATCATTAAGGATTCACAGGAAGGTCCAACCCACAATTGAGGATCTTTCCTTTGAAGTTAATAAGCATTTTAATTCCAAAACAGGTAAGGCCCTCCATTCATTGGAGGACTCCAGGACAACTCTGCACTCTTTGGGTCCGTAGTTCTATCCCCAAGAAGAAAGCAAATAAGATCACAGTCTTCTGTCAGACAAAATCTCTCTGCCCATTATTATTATTATCAGCCTTAGAGGACCTCTAAACCACCAATAAAAAGGAGAAGTTCCATCAACAACGATCTTCTGCCTCTTCCTCCACTTCTGCACAATCTGCATCTTCTACGAGGCAGCAGGTTTGGTATTGGTGTTGAGAGCCTGACAGAACTTCTCAAGGATCACTTCCCTTCCACAGACCCCTTCGGCAACCACCTTTTATTTTTGGGAAGCCTGGACTGTCACCTCAGACTAATGTGTCCTGGAAATTGCTGAATCTAGTTTCATCTCTTCCTATCTCCTCCTCCCATCACTTTTAAGGGACCAGATACTGTTTGAGATTCCAAACTATAGTGAACCTTATGCACCAGGTTCTATCTCACCCAGAGACATGGGTAAGAGCATGCCTCAGACTTCTGGGACAGATGGCCTCATGCACATATGCGACTCAGTTTGCAAAACTTCACCTATGCAAAACTTCACCTTACAAGGGTGATTGAAATCAGTGTAACTACCCAGCAGAGACCACATGAATATGTTGGTCATGGTCCCTCAGAAAGTCTTCTCTTTAAACTGGTGGAAAAATACATTTCAGGTGTGCAAGGAAGTACCCTTCTCTGCACCTCTACATACCAAGACAGGTGACAGATACCTCTACTCAGGGATTGGGGGGTGGGGGGGTTCACCTACATCACTTTCAGCCACAGGGTCTGTCGTTTCCTCAAGAACCTTATATACACACAAATGGCTAAGGACAGGGTCACTCTTAGGCTTCATCCCAGGTTCCTGCCCAAAGTTGTGTCAGACTTCCATATGAACCAGTTCATCTCCCAGTTTTCTCACTCGTATGTGGATGAAGCTAAACGTCACACATTTGATGTAGTAATGTCATTGTTACGCTACCTTAACAGGTCAAAATCATTGAAGAACACACCTAGACTGAGAGAGTTAAGAGACAGGGTGTATCCTTACAGAGATAAACAGAATGGGTCTCCACTTGTATAAGAGTGTCATAAGCTAGCCAAGTTAGATCTACCTAGTCACCTTAGAGCTCATTCCATTAGAGCTCAGGCAGCCTCTGCTGCCAGTTTGAAGAACGTCCCTGATTTGTAAGGCAGCTATGTGGCATTCACAAAACATTTATAAAATGCTCTTCTTTGCTAGAGGCTTCCAGAGTGAACACCTGTGTTGGTAGAGCTGTCCTGTTTAAATAGGACTCCTAAAGCCCATCTCAAAGCAATCAGACCACTGCACATTAATTACCAAAAGTGGAATTCATGTGGACAATTCTTAGAAGTATTTTACCTTATAGTAACTGTTTTTTTGAGATATACTATCCACATGGATTCTATGACGGGGCTTCCTTCCCTGCTACTATGGATTCCTATTCTTCTGGGATTCTGTGTTGGTCAAGGAACTGCAGGACAGTTGGCCCACTCTACCCTTTATGCAATCAGGTGGGGGATACGAGAACATATAGGGTGCAAGCAAGACACACACCCCCCCAACAGAAACTGCTGGCCAAATGAATCTGATCTTGTGTGCATACACACCAAGAGTGGAATCCAACTCGACAATCACTCAAAGATTAAATTATTTTATAGCATTAGCACAGTTACTGTAAGGTAAGTAACCGCTTTTGACCAATAATGCTTATCCTCCTTTCCTAGGACTATGATCATGATGGCAAGCTCTCTTACACAGATTTTGAAAAAGCTGTAAGAGATGAAAATCTTCTCTTGGAAGCATTTGGACCATGTTTGCCAGACATCAAGGTATTCATTTTTGCATGTAAAAAAATTAAATAACTTGGGACAATACTGCCCGTCAGCCTAATGATTGCCTTGAAAGCTTACCACAATACATACATTCACAGTTCTTTGAGAATTTCCAGATCTCCAGTTGTAAGATATTCATGTGCCCATGCTGGATTCAGTCTATCATAGCAAGACCTACACAAACACTTCCTTACAGCTCCAGGACTTCCAGGATCCCCGCCCAGGACGGCCAGCCAAGCAGACTGTCCCAGCGCTGGGGCTCTTAGGAGCCTGGCTCCTCCACAGCCCCAATTCCCAGAACTGCTTACCAGGCAGCTCAGGGAGAGCTTGGATTCTGTTTTGCACAGAACTTCAAAATTTTGAGGGTTTATTCTGACTCAGAACAAAACCAACTTAGTATTACTACTGTCCTCTGCCCAGCTGTATTTATCTTAATTTTAGAGATAAGGGAAACAAAGGCATTAGATTAAGTGACTTGTCCAACCTCTTACAAAGTTGATGACAAAATTGGACTGAAAATCCAGGCCATCTAACTCCTACTCTGCTCTAGTTATTAAACCATGGTCTTGTTGAAGATTCAGATCAACTGCTACATGCTCGCAGCTTCTATGCTTTGTGTACTGTGCCCTACAAAACATGTACATTTTTAAAAGGAAACTAGGGCTCCCGTAGAAAAGGAGAACACTTTAGAGCATATTAGCCTGCAGCTGCAGTCTCAGAAGAAGTTTGGATATGCTCTTTATTGTCCTGTAGCATAAAAAAAAATCCCACCAAAACAAGTACCTCATTATTCTTTTACTTTTCTTAAGCCAAGGCAAGACAGCATTCTCAATGCAGCCTTTGCTTTTAACTTCAGATGTTCAAAAATCAGGATATTCCCATGAGTAGTACATCTAGTTATAACTACGTATCAGGGGTCGGCAACCTACGGCACATGAGCCGATTCTGAGTGGCACGCTGCCTGCCCAGTGAGGGGGGGGGGAGGGCCGGAAAGCGCCACGCTGGGGGGAAGAAGGGGGAGGAGGGAAGCTTGGCTGCCGCAGGACCAAGCTTCTGCCTCCAGCCCCTGCAGGGGAGAGCGGGGGGGGGGGATGGGAGAGTCCTGGCCCCCTGCCCCACTCAGCCCCCCCCGCCCACCGCTCTCCCCTGCGGGGGCAGGAGGCAGAAGCTTGATCCTGCGGCAGCCAAGCTCCACCCCCCGTTTCTTCCCACAACGTGGTGCATTCCAGCCCCTCTCCCTGCCGGCAATGGCCCTTGCGAGGGGGAGTGGAGCAGAGCAGAGTGGCAGCGTGTTCCCTGCTCCGCAGAGGAGGCAGAGAGAGGTAGGGACGGGCCTTGGGGAAAGGGGTGGAACAGGGCATATCCCTCCCAGCCCCCTGCCATGAGCCGCTCAGGGGAGGGGGCTGGGAGCACCTCCACGAGCGGAGCACCCAGCCTTCTGCCATGCACCCCCCACACACCCTCCAGCCCTCTGCCCTGACCTCCCTCCAACACCCAGCCTTCTGCCCTGCACCTCCACACACACCCCAGCCCTCTGCCCTGACCTCGAGTCGCCCCGCTCAGCCCGCTGCAGGCCTAGGTGAACAGACCCCCAGGCTGGAAGCGGGCTGAGCAGGCTGGCGGCGTAAGATCAGCATTTTAATTTAATTTTAAAGGAAGCTTCTTAAACATTTTGAAAACCTTGTTTACTTTACATACAACAATACTTTAGTTATATAATATAGACTTATAGAGAGAGACCTTCTAAAAAACGTTAACATGTATTACATATATGTATCCTTTGGTTTCCCAAAGGAACCATCACTTTGAATGTTCTGACTTAAGTTCTCTGCCTTGAAGCCATTTACATTTAATTTCCATTATCGAAGTGCCAGATGGTATCTGAGAAATTGGAAAGATGTTTTCAAATGTTCAGTAATTTGTTTACTCTTACAAGCCTCAATTTAGCACTATTATTTTCTGAATACCTTTCATCCTTTCTTAAACTAGTTTAACTAATTTTTTTTATTTTACAACTATTTTGTCACGTTGTGTCTTCTTTCTTTTACAGAGCAGCATGGCATTTGAAATGCAGGCATTCCGAGAAACTGGTGATATGTAGCTCTGCAACTGGAAAACTGCTGCAAAGGACAGTTTCTCTGCATCAGTTTTCTTAAGACAGTAAAAACAGCAGCAAGTCAGAACTCTTACTTTAATATTACATCTCCACATTCCTTAACTTCAGTATACTTGCTACTGAAGAAATGGGTAAGAGGATAACAAATGGCTTTTAAAGGAGTTGGAGTTAGTGTTTCATGAGGTATAAAATATTATCGGTGTGTCTGGCTATTGAGATACAAGAATGCTACTAATTATAGACATTTGTTTAATGAAATGTCAAAAAATACAAGATTTAGAATCATGAATGTTTATGCTACTGCTAGAAAATACATTATAATATACAGACAATTTAATATTTCTTTACCTTTGACATTAAAAAAATAAAAAAAAATGAAATTACATCCTTTAAAGACAGATGATCATCAAAGATGCTGCCAGGGGTATCTATATTCTTCTTCTCTGCTTTATTGGTGGCTTTGTTTGAGTATCTTCTGGCTTTTCCCCAGATGATTTTGGAACAGAAACTGCTACCTAGTTTAAAAAGGAAAAAGTCCAAAAAATCAGTAAATTGTAATTATTCCTGCTTCTGTTGCTTTTAGAATAAATGTCCCTAGATGTTTATGTAACTTCAATATTTGAATTTTAGGAGCAATGTACAGTATTTGTTCATTGCAATTGTATTACAAGCTTTACGCCACACAAAGTTGTAAATGAATGTTACGCACAAAGACAAATTAAATAAAAAAATTAATTCTTAGAATGACAATATGAAATACTGAGAAAACAGTACAGCATCAACAAGCAAGTGAATCAGTGACAAACAACTTGCTGTATTTTAACAAATAATTGATTTTGAAGGTTTGGTAATGATAGAATGTTGCACACTTTCATTATGTGCATCAACAATAGAGGAATATCGAAGTATAGTTTAGCCACCTGCAACTAAAACTGTCAAATGGAAAAAGGAGGAAGTGCTTTGGAATAAAGTGGGTTTTTGTCTTTTTTTTTTTTTTTTATTATTATTATTAAAGGTGATGTGTGATTCATTAATTGATTTAGCAATTTAGTTGCAGTTGAGCCCCTTCAAATCTACATAGCTTTCTTTATTGAAGGTAGAAGTCTGTTTCTTGATTGTCTTAATCTAAACCTACTAAATAGAATAGTATAATAGTAAAAGAAAAATGTTTACTATTGCACGTTACCTTATGTACAGTATTACAATTCTTATTAAAGGGCTACTGTACTATGAAAAGTGACTCTACACATGGCATTTGGAGGACCATATTTAATCTCTCTGACTCCGTAACATATTTGTTTAGTTTACAAATGCTTTTCTTTAAATTCGACTGCCAGACCTGCATACAACCTGCAATCGAAGTGCAACAATATCAGTGTAAATTCTGAAACTAAAAATGTTTGTTCATTTTTAATCAAGAGCTGGCGTATGGGGGAGGGACAGCTCAGTGGTTTGAGCATTGGCCTGCTAAACCCAGGGTTGTGAGTTCAATCCTTGAGGGGGCCACTTAGGGATCTGGGGCAAAATCAGTACTTGGTCCTGCTAGTGAAGGCAGGGGGCTAGACTCGATGACCTTTCGAGGTCCCTTCCAGTTCTAGGAGATAGGATATCTCCATATATTTTTTTATTTTTATTTTATTTTTTATTTTTTTTACAGCTACAGATAGTATCCACTGAAGTAAATCAGTCCACTTGTGAACTGAAATGCTACTCTATGTGAGTACAAGTATCTGTCCCTAAACAGCTGTTAGTAAACTGCATTTTGAAAGTTGTACGTTCCAAGATTGAATGCTTTTTGCATTTTAAATCGGGAATAAAGTAGGTAGTTTGGAATAAAATGAACTCAAATATTTTGTCAAAACACTAGTTTGTTTCATGCCAGTCTCTTATAGTCTCCCCAAAGAAATGTGGAAAAGCATCCATTAAAGCTCTCATATCAGGCAAACTGATTTCCTAGGATGTTTCCTTTAGATCTCATTTAAATCATTCATTGGAGGAAGACAGACTAAACTATCACTCCATTTATTTACTCATTAATTTAGAAATGGCAATTCTAACTATATTTTTGCTTAACTTCAGAGCCGGAGCAACTTAAGCTGTCCTACTTGTTCAACCCCTTTACTGTTCACAGAAAATGAAAATAATCCTGAACCCCTCATTGTAATATAGCAGTTCAAGTAAAATATTTCACCTGGGGCAGTATGCAACTTCAATGAAGAAAATATAAATAATTTTCAAATAATTAAAAGGCAAAGAAAAGGAAATTCTAGTAAGACAGTTCACAGCATCTGTATGCTTTTGTTTCATTCAAAATAAATGCAGACTAAAGCAGACAGCAGAGATTTAAATGATGTCATGCAGTCTGCCATAAACAAAATTGTGTTAAATTCTTCAGAGTCTAAGTCCAACATTATGAAGACCTCTAAAATTCAAATATGTGGTCAGCTGCTTTAGATACCCCTACTGCAAGGAAGAGTGAGGTGTGTGGGGAAAATGAACAAATATGGAAAGTGAACAGTATCTTGATACTTTTATTTCCAAAAATGACAGAGGCCTAAAAAACAAAACTGTATAAAATGAAAATACTTCAACAGCATGAAGTTGGTGCAGTATCAAAATGAATCAGAGTATTATGATTAGAGGGATAAAAAAACACTTTGGTTTTAGGTGCTTTTTTGACATTTGGCCTGATCCTGAGAGGAGATGAGAACCTGTGACTGATTTCAATGGGCATTATGGTTGCTCGCACTTCTCAGAATCAGGCCCCATTATTATCAAATTGCTGGAAAAATACCCAATATGTTGAGGTAAGTTACTGTATAGCCCCATAAATACATTTAAAACCAATTTTTAATGAATGATGAATATAAACATATGTTTGAATTAGAAGGGTTTTTTGAGTGCATACCTCCGTAAGTTTATTTCTAATTAAACTTGCTGAAGTATTCAATGAATCATCATCCATGTCCACTTTTGGTATTTCTGGTAGCCGTGGACCAATAATGACTCCGGTACTATCCGAGTCTATTCCAATGAAGTCAATTTGATTGCCTTGGTCTCGCTTTCTCTTTCGCTCTTGCAGTTGAGTTGTGCGGGGCATAAATCTCCCAATTCCATTATCAGAAGAAACTTTTCTTTGCAGCACAAGTGAAACTGGTGTGTTAGTATATCCCCCCTGTTGTGCACTTTGAGTCAAAGGTTTACTTTGGCAAAAGGATTCAGAAGTTTCAGCACAGTTACTGACATATTGAGGGAATGCCAACACTCTCTGAAAGTGACCTCCTGAAGGACATGCTGTGTTTCTTGATGAAAATTCACAAGATGGCTGGTAAGGGTAAGGACAACATGCAGATGGATCCCAGTTACCAGTGTTTGCACCTGCTGCACTGAATCCTAAGGTTTCTGGTTGAAAGTCATGTTCTGAGTTCTTTGAAACAGTCTTTTTAGGCTCCTGTATCTTCTTTACCACAAAATGAACTTTAACACAAAGAGGTAGTTGATTGTTATTATATAACTTCTCTAAATTATATATAACAAAGAAAAGCATTTATTTAGCATAGCTGAATTAAAGTGAAGCTGACCACTAGAGTCAAGTTCCAGTCTAATCTCAAGTTTCAGTTACTCATTTTTCAAAAGTTTCACCTTTCAAACTCTTTTCCAAGCATGGCTTCTGCTTGATTATTAATTACATTGGAAATATTGAGCAAAAACATTTCAGCAGTTTTTGCGAAAGAAGGAAAGCAAACAATTCTTCCAACTTTTTTAAATAGTATGTGTTCATGTAATTAAAGACTGTATCATAATTAAGCTTGGCAGAATTCAATTTTTATCATTTTGATGGATAATATTGATTTTTAAGCATTTTAAGATTCTCAATTTAAATTTTCACAATTGTGCAAAATTATGGATTTTAATCATATTTTGCAATTCTTATCCATTTAAATTTTCACAGTTGCAGGAAATTATGGGGGGGGGGTCAGACAGTAATTATATAGTAACAGACGTTGAGATTCAAAAAGTTAAAAGCTTTATAATCCTTACAAAACAAATTGTCAACGTCACATATAGAAATACACACCGTAAATATCCTTAAACTCTAATAAGGTCTCATGCAGCACTTATCTTACTTTGCCTATCTGTACATTTTGATTATAATCAATGGAAATATTTTGCGTGTGTATGGTGAACTCGGTTTTTACTGACATTTACCAATAAAAATATAATCCTTCCAAATCTAATCATAATACAGAGGCAGAAGGAGGGAGCAACCTTAACTTTGGCATCTCCTGATGCAGGTGCTTAACTGCAAAGTTAAAATTCTCTTTACATTGTTTTTGATGGAGTATTAAATTAGTCCCATGAAGTTTAATATTTCACCTCTTAACATTAATTCACTTGCATTATCTTTCTGGCAATCCAGACTTCATTCCATTAAGTGCGAAAGTGTTGATTGCCACAACAATTGTAGTTCATGATTAAGGATACGATTTCGTCATGGCAGGAACGGATTCCGTGACTTTACCTGACCCCCCTGACTTCTTCGGCTTCAGCTATCAGCAGCTGAAGTCAGGGCTGGAGCCGGAGCTGGAGCCGGAGCTGGAGCCGGGACTGCACGCCCCCGCCCTGCATGGCTGCAGCTGGCACTGAAGCCGAGGCTATGCTCCTCTTTCTCGCAGGTGGGCTGGAGCCAGGACTGTGACATTCCTCCCCATGTGGCTGGGCTGGAACCAGGACTTTATGCCCTCCCCCGACAGCTTCCACTGGGGCTGGAGCTGTGCACACCCCCTGTGGCTGCAGCCAGGGCTGTGCGCACCGTCCCTCAGCCATAGCTGCAGCCGGGGCCATGCGCTCCTGCCCCATTGCTGGGAATGCAGCCGGGGCCATGCACATGCCCCTCAGCAACTTTGGCCAGGGCTGGAGCGGTGCACACAACCCCATGGCTGCGGCTGTAGCTGGGACGCTGTGCAGCTGCAGCCAGCTCCGGAGCCTGTGCTGTACACCCTCACATGGCTGTGTCCCCCATCCTCCCCACGAGGTGGTGCGGCTTGGCCTGTCAGTCCCCCACCGTGGGACTCCAGCTGTCATTTCCTTCTCCCCGCCTCTGTTATTTTTAGTAAAGTCACAGACAGGTCACGGGCTCCCCTGAACTTTTGTTTATTGCCCATGACCTGTCCGTGACTGTTACTAAAAATAAACATGACAAAATCTTAACCTTATTCATGATTATTAGTAAGTGTGAAATCACTAGAGTTCAGAAAGCCAAGACAGTGTGTTCCTGACACCTATTCTATATAAACTATTTCCTCTTTCAATTATACTGCAGAAGTTCACTAGTGCAATTATCTTCCCCAATCAGAACCAAAGCATCTGAGCATACAGTGACAATATATGAAACACCTGGAGCCTAAACTCTCTATAAAATCTAGGGATGAGATTCTATGGTGTGCTTCTTGGAGATCTCACAGCTCGAAGGTGGAGGGGCAGGAGGAGGGAAAGGGAACGTGACTGGTTAATGTGGCTTTAAGTCCGTTTTGTGCCCTTCCAATCTGGGCTGCTCGGGGTGAGGCTATCTAAGTTACAGTAACTCCTGGGGCTGTCCTATGGGCTACAACACTGTCTGGAATCTCCACAGTGCTTCATGCTGCAGCCCCACCATTGACATATCCTACCCCTACTATGTCCATCACCAGTCCCTGCACTAGGGGAATTCTCTTCTTGGTAGATCCACGATTTTTAGGGCCTGTTTACACCACTCCAGCCCTTTTACCCTGCATAAATGGGTCAGAATGGGGATAAGAATCTCACCCCATGTTTCTTAGCCGTGCTTATGTTTCTGATAAATGAGATCACACACAATGAAAACCAGGGAAATAGAAGCATTAAAACCTGTGCATTTCTTATTTCCCCCATTCACCATCTTTTGTGTGACTTTGATCATTTAGAATCCACTAAACATTGAGGTGCCTTTCCATTCTGCTCTTAAAATACTAAAGACAGATATGCACGTTTTGCAGCGAAGTAAAGATGAACAATTAACTATAAGAGTAGACATTTTTACTTTGTCAAAACATATCCACAACAAAAGTGATATTTTAAACTTTCAATAGGATGTCCAATTACAAACCTCTATTACTTGTTGCTTTTGCGATATATTTTCTCCTGTCTTGCAGCTTCTCCCTAGTCTCTTGGACTGTTTCAAATTCTGGAGCATAACACACATGAAGCAAACTACCAAAGAAACTCCGTTCATCCAGTTTTCTCTTGGCTATCCTAAACAAAAGGAAATTGTATTCAAATGTTATATTACTCCAGTGTTGTCACACTTCACACTTTAACAAACATATTTGAGGATCACTGATATTCTCTTGATCTATGTTTGTAATAAATGTTTCAGTTGAGACACGGTGAGGAGGACACACCACTCTTGTATGTACCAAATATATTTATGTTGGATGAATATACTACTTTAATCTCAAGAAATTTACCACTATTAAGACACCAAACATTCAAGAAATGGAAGGCAGACAGATATTATCTATTGCAATACCTTGCACTCTGTAATTTTTGGAATTTGATAAGATAAACTTCTGTAAATTGTTCTGCTGGATACTCATCTAAAGCATTGTACTCTTCAATGGCACCATATAATGCAAATTGTTCCACTAATTCCTTCATAACACCCAAAGCAGGAACTCCCTGTATTAGCAAATAACGAGATTCCAAGTTGACAGTATACACCTGAAAGAAATAAACACATTTGAATACATTCATACTTTTATCTTGCAATAAAAACATTAAATACCATATTCAAACAGCTCAAGTAATTTTCTTATATTATCTATTGGACCTAAAACCCTCTTAGAACTTTGAAAATTTTAAAACATCTACCGTTTTGATTTTGAGCTTGGAGTATCGTAGGACCGCAACAGGAATTTGTAAGAATTCCATGGTCAACAAAGACCTCCTCATCAGTGAGTGTGGAAAGAACTCAATCATTCTGATCCAAAAGCAGGTGTCTACCATTTGTGTTAGGGCTTATTTTTGAGCAGGTCTGATCCAGTAAAGTGCAGTGCTATAGTCTAGCCAGTACATTGCAAATTCCTTGCAACAATGAACAGCTGATTTTCTGGACAATTATCATGTGGCACTGGCAAAGTAAAAGAAAGTATTCCTGTCACATCTTTCTTGGTTAGAAACATGGTGAATTTACATGGGGAAAATAAAGGATCCCCAGTGGGAGAAACGATATGACTCTGTGCAGTGTCATACTAAGAGCAGACTGCTCTGCAAGTGCAGTGATCATGTAGCACATGTGCATTGGGGAAGCATTTGATACAAGATATTCAGAATAAAACAGGTTTTCCCCATTCAGCAGGTTATGCAGGATTAGAGATCATTCTGACTCTGTTGCATAATGAGGAATATATTCCATGAAAAGCTTCACATCTGCTCAATCCATATTTAAATCCGCTAAACTCATTACAGTTAAGGTCAAAATGCATTGTCAATGAGTCTTTCAAGAAGCTTTTTGAATGCATGACCCCCACATTGGTCTTCAGTACTCCTTTCTTTTGTTGATCATTGTGTTTTTACTTTCCTTCTCTCATACACCAGAGCAATGATTTTATATGTTATCCATGGGATGTCTTAGCTAGTAACTTCTACCATACAGGTTTATCTGCAGATTTTTGATAGCATCTTTCAGACATTCCCAAGTCACTTGGTCTTTATTTGCATTAATGATCCACAACACTTCTTTGCAGTGACTTTCCATCTCCTAAGTCCTCAGAGCTTCAAGGTATTTGACTTTGTGTAAATTTTTCAGTTTTATATTCTGTCTCCTCATTACCAATCTGTGATCTGATCCACAATCTGTGCTTGGCATAACATTAATCTTCCTAATACAATTTCTATACCTATGGTTGATCATGATCAAATCAATTTTGGTTTTTATTCATCCCTCCTGGTGATTCTCATGTATGCTTTGTGCTTTCTTTTTGTTGAAAATGACTGCAGATAATGAGACCATGTCTCTCAAAATTCTCTGAATCTTTCTTCTCTGTCATTTCTTTCACTGGCACCAAATAATATCTGTGAAGTTGGCCTTTTTCCACTTCCATTTTTGCATTCTAGTCTCCGATAAGAATTACCATTATATCTTTCTTTCCACCACTGATTTCCTTCAGTGTTTTCACAGAATTTTTCATCATCATCTTCAGAATCTGCAGTTTCTTGGGACATATATTTGAATAATCATTGTACATGCTTTTATTGCTATTAGCATTACAGGTTCAGATGACAGATTCACTTATTCAATCCTTTCAGCTATAGTTCTATCTACCATAATTCCCACTCCTTTCCCACTTCACAATCCACCTACATTGATAACTCTGTATTCTTTGCTGCTCAGAAGACTTGTGACAAAGTCATCTCCACCTATACAGAACATCTCAATCCTATTGTAACATTTCACCTTTCCATTTGTCCGCATACACTGGGTGCTTTCTAGGTTGATTCAGTCCCCTTACATTCCTGTGGTCACCAGTTTCACATGTCTGGCCATGCAGGGCACCGGTTCACACTGAAGGCCAGTCAGACTGCATGGCAGTCGAGGAATGTTAAGTTGGGTGATTATGACAACTTTGGCACTAATACTCCACAAACGCCTCAAGAATCAAGTGCAGCCATTTTTTTCAGGTTGGAACCCTAGCCTCTAGCAAAAAGACAGTCCACAAGGGAGCAGGGATTGATAAGAAAATAAGTGAACAACAATATGGTTTCACACCTACAAAGAGCACAATAATGAAGATCACATTAGAAAAATCAACTGAAATGGGGAAAACAATATACTTGTGCTTAACTGACTTCCAAAAAGCATTTGACTGAATCTACCACTACATATTGCTCAATATATTAAGTGTAAGGACTAAGAGATATGAACTTTGAGTCATATAATTGCCTTCTGATTCCAGTATAATTGTAATGGAAGATGAAAATGAAATGGATATCAAGAGAGGAGTGAGCCAAAGCTGTATAATGCCACCAATTTTATTCAACATTTATAGTGAGTGTTCGTTTGATTAATTAATTGACAAAATAGATATATTAAAAGCAGGGGCGGCTCTATGTTTTTTGCCGCCCCAAGCACGGCAGTTAGGCGGGCTTCAGTTAGGCATGCCTGCAGGCGGTCCACGGTCACGCGGATTAGGTGGCGTTTCTGCGGATGATCTGCCAGTCCCGCGGCTTTGGCGTACTTGCCGCCGAAACCGCAGGACCGGCGGACCTCCCGCAGGCATGCCGCCGAAGGCTGCCTGACTGCCGCCCTCACATCGACTGGCAGGCCGCCCCCCGCGGCTTGCCGCCCCAGGCACGAGTTTGCTGCGCTGGTGCCTGGAGCTGCCCCTGTTAAAAGTAATGGAAAACGGGTTAATAACATTTGCTATGCAGATGACACGGTGCTGGTGGCTGATTTAGAACTAGGTCTGATGAAGTTAGTGGAAATTATGTATGAATATGGCAAATAATATGATCCACATTCAACTCGAGATAAAACAAAAACTATGGTGGTATACAAGGATCCTGGGAAAACAAGCAAGATTCCAGTTAATTACAGTGCTGTACAGCAATTGAGAAATGATTACTACTTAGGAAGCATCATTACTGGAAGATCTGATACTAAAGTCAACACCAGAATAGCAGGAGCAAAAGAGTCATTCTGGAAGAATAAACATCTCAGAAGGACATAAGTCTGAAGACTAAATTCCAAATCTTCAGAACTTACATTTGGTCTGTTAAATTACAGCTATGAAACATGGATATTCAAAGAATCAATCATAATGAAACTACAATCCGTCGAATTATGGTGTTATAGAAAAAAATCATGGATAGACCCCGTAACCAACAAAGAAATACTGCAGATGATTGGAACTCAGCAAAATCTAATTAGAGATCTTATTAAAAGATTTGAGTAGCAGGGCATATTTTAAGAGCTTCAGTGGGTGATTCATGTTTACACGCACTGCAAGGTAAAGCTGATGACAGAAGAGCACAAGACAGAAAAAGAAGATCTTGGATGGACAGTGTGATGTGATATGTGTGGATCAAAAGAACTATTCATCCACAAAGAGATTAGCAGAGGATCATACAGAATGGGTTACCATGATTGCAAGCCTCCAGTAATGGAGATGCCACATAAAAAGAGCCACATATATATTTCCAAAACTCAAAACAAAAAATACAATGAAAACTATTTTGCAACCCAGCAGCTTTCTTCAAATAGCCTTTAGTCAATCATATATATTCACTGAATATGATTTAATTACCTTTTATAACATGCTGACAAGAGCTACAGTTGGAATATTTAGGTCTCAACCTTAACCAACTTTCAAAATCGTGTTTTATAATCCTGATACTACAAAAACAAGAACAATTTTACTCATATGAGTAGTCCCATTGAGTGAATAAAATTACAGGCCTGTTTGCAGGATTGGACCCTGGATTTGTATGCATTGTACTCAAACTTTCAAGACAAGATAAATGAATAAATCTTTCCATTTCTGTTCTCTACAATTTCATGACTTAACTGAATAGTAATGGGCTTTCTCAGTGCGTAACAAAATATCTAAAATGAGGCCCAAAACAAAAATAGTACAAGTGGAATTTTCAAATAATGTAGGATTTCTTTCAATGTGAATAAAGTTTCCTGTAGTTTCATGATTGAACATCTCTGATGTTAATGATTCACATTCACAATACCACCCAGTTTGTGTAAAAGGGAGGGAACTGTGGTCTGAGCAAATTGATGTTTATTGTAATGAGAGATGCACACACGTTAATCAATCAAGTGGTTCCTAACCATTCTGGGGGCAAGTGTTATATCAATTTTTATCAGACTGAAACCTCATCAATTTCTAGCCAGTGCCAGGTAGGTGAGTGTGTATGAGGGGATGATTTGTAATCCTGTAAATCCTGCATCATCCTACAGCGCGCCTCTTCTTCCTCCTCTTCTCTCCTCTCCCCCCCACCCGTGACAGACTGCGGCCTTTGGACCGGACTGGCACCCACATCTCGCTAGGGAGCTAGGGCTGAGCCCCGGGCTGTGGGGTGCCTCAGGGTGGCGTGGCATTGTCGGGGAGGGCTTTGTTCGGAACTGGGACAGGGAGTTATTAACACAGTTCCAGGCGCTGCAGCATTCGGACCGGGCATACTGGTGTAGCGTCACCCCCGGACGGGGCGGCGGCAAGAGCAGCCCGTAACCTGCTGCGCACCAAGGGTTCTTGGGCTGCGTCCCGGCGAGGGGGGAGCGGCAGGCCGGGCTGTGTTCCGTACCCGGGGGCGGGTGAGGACATTTGAGGCAAGACACCCAGAGGCTCCACCAGGCCTAACCCCCGTGGCGCGGGTCCCGGCTGAGCGGAACCAGGCGACCGGTCCCCGTCTAACCAGTACCCACCACACACAACCTGCTGGCAGCAGCCACCCAGAGCCGCCCACTCCCACCTTCACTGCACGGGGCCTGCGCCCCTCTCGGTACTTGGCGCGCGAGTCGCACACGTCCTGCTGCGCGTGATGTTTACAGACACCGCCGACTCCATCGCCAGGCGCCGCCATCTTCCCACCTTCCCCCGCGCGCCACAGCCAGGCAGCACCAGCAGCTCCCCGAGAAAACAGCCAATCACAGAAACGGGGAGCGTTTACCGGGCTCTTATTGGCTCCGGGCGGGGAAGTACAAGAGAGATTTGGACGGGCCAGACAGCACCAACAGAATCCCTCGAGAGAACAGCCAATCAGAGAAAGCGGGTGAGCGTGGTACGCACTCTCATTGGCCTGTGATGGGCCATACCAATGCCGCTGGAGGTTGGGGGGCAAAGTACTGAGGGCTCGTGCTTCCTTCCTTCTTTCTACCTGGGCGCGGAGCAGCCGCTCGATGCTGCCGGGGCGCGCCGGGGTTGGGTGCTGCGGGCATGATGTGGGGCAGCGGCTACCCCGGCGGAGGGGGCGCGGGAGGCGCTGCTGTGACTGTCGCCTTCAGCGGCGCCCGCGACTGCTTCCTGCACCTGCCTCCTGCGCTGGCCTCCCACCTTCGCCTGCAGCAGGTACCGGGGGTGGGCCCCGTCCGGGCTCTGGGCGGAGGGGCCCCTCGGAGCGGCTCATAGCAGAGTCCCGTCCTCTCTCCCCACCAGCACCCTATCGCTGGGGTGACAGCGAGGCGCCCTCCTCCACCCTTCACGGCTTCACACCTCCCAGCCGGCCTCCCCCTCATCGCTACTGTGACAGCGGCACTACCCGCCGCCAGTTCGTTAGACACCCCCTCTCCCTGCCAGCATCCCACTGCCATGGCGACACTGAGCCCCCCAATGCTACTGATACCCCCGACACCCACCCTCACCATGATGCTCCCCCCCTGCCAGTGATGCCCCCAACACCAGCACCTCCTCATGATGCCCCCTAATGCCAGTGACACCGCCAGCACCAGCACCTCCACAATGCCCCCTAATGCCAGTGATGACCCCAATGCCTGCATCCCCCACGACGCTTCCACTCCATACCAGTGGCACCTCCCAATGCCAGTGACACCCCCCAATGCCAGCAGTGCCCTCTAATGTTAACATCGCCTCCCAATGCCAGTAATGCCCCAATGTCAGCATCTCCTCACTACATGCCCCCAATGCCAGTGATGCCCTACTAATGCCAGCACCTCCTCACAATGTGCCCCCGATGCCAGCATGCCCTATGTCCTCACAATGCCCCAGAGCCAGTGACATCCCCAGTTCCAGTGATGCCCTCTAAATCCAGTGCTTGATGCCAGCAATGCCCTGATGCCAGCTCCTCCTCACTGTGTCCTGCAATGCCAGCAACATCCCCCAATGCCAGCGCTTCCTCACACTGCCTCTCTGATGCCAGCAACTCCTCAAGGTGCCCCCCCGGTAGCGACCTGTCCATGCTAGCGCCGCCTCACACGGCCCCTTATGCCAGCAACAATCTCCAATACCAGCACCACCTCATTTCACTTTAGTCACTGTACTTTTTAACTTCTGTTTAACTAACCCCCTCATTTTTGCATAGTTCCCCCTTTTGAAATTAAATGCCACAGTGTTGGGCTGTTGAGGTGTTCTTCCCACCACAGGGATGTTGAATGCTATTGTATTATGGTCACTATTTCCCAGTGGATCTGTTATAGTTACCTCGTGGCCCAGCTCCTGCACTCCACTCAGGACTAAATCTAGAGTTGCCTCTCCCCTT